CCTCTGCCTCCTGAGTGCTGGGATTAAAGGCGTGCGCCACCGCCACCCGGCACCTGACAGCTTTTGAAAACTGCAAGCTCACACACAGACCCAGGTGATCGAAGTTTCAGCTAGGAGCATTTCTGAGCTGTTCTTGCTCTTCTTCCTGCTAGCCTCAGATAGACTGATTCAGGCTAGACTTCTTCATAGACTACCAGCTGCCCACAGATCCTGAGCTTCCTTCTGGACCACAGCCTCTATTTCAAGGGCTGGCATGGGTAAGTCGGCATCAGATCTGAGGCGACAGCTGTGCGCTCCTAACTGCCTCTTCCTGCCTCTCTCCTCTACAATGTTGCTGGCAAACACCGCACTTCAGTATGTCACAGGCCCAGCAGTCCACTCTGTGCATCACAGCGTAAGTCAATCAGGAGGAGGAGATACACAGAGCACTCTTTTCCATGGCGACCGACACGCCCTACTGCTTGTGGGGTTCACAATGTTGTTCAAGTAGGACGCATTCAGTTGAAAGCGTCAGGGCTCCTTAGAAGGAGTCTACTCCACTTGTGAGGCAGTTTTGCTGGCACAGGAGTCTCGCTCGGCAGGTGAGTGCTCTGGGAGCACCTGGATGACCTTCTGTCTGTCCTGTTTCTCACCTGAAAGCAGTTTCACTTCACTGGAGAGCTTTTGGAAATACATCAGGCTTCTCTTGCTGCCTTTTTAAGTTTTCTTCTCATCTTTCACGTTCACAGTTTTACTGTACTGTGTCTGGTGTATTTCTTATCTTACATGGAGTGTGTTGAACGTTTGGGTCATAAATATCAATGTCATCAAATTTCAGAAGTTTTTAGCCCCACCCCCAAGAATATATATATATTTTTTTGCTTTCTCTCTCTTAAAGTTAATTATCATGCCAAACCTAATTTCTGTGTGAGCATCTCTGCAGCTCTACTTAGTGAGGTACCTAGATGTGAGAGCTGCGACTAACATAAGCCTCCAGGAAAGAAAGGGTTGGGGCAGGCTTGGGCAGAGCTGCCCTGGCCATCCCTGTAACCACACACTCTGCATGAGAAGATCCAACAGACCAGAAAGAGCCTGGGGCCAGGATAGGGAGGTTGTATCAGGACACTATTCCTTTATAAAGCAGTGCTACTTTCCTTGTGCCCTCTATGTCCCCATACCTAGGCCAGTGCTAAATACGCAGCAGAGCCTGCCCTGGGGCTTTGTGTCCATCTGGCATCTTCTCAGGCTGGCATCTCAGAGGGTCCTGCCAGCCAGTATGTGTGGAGTAGCAACACTGAAATCAATAAGGAACAGGTTCTAGTGCCATCACAGTCAGGGCAGGACAGACAGACCTCATCAGGCTCTCTGTCACCCAAGAGTTACAGTATCAGCATAACTGCTGTGGGCTTTGCCGTTTAAATACTGTTGCTTCCCTTTCCCCCTCACTCTAGGAGCAGACTAAGGTCATGCTGTATTTCAAAGCTGACGGCGGTTGGCCGTGATCCCTACTCCCCCTCCTTACAGAAAGCTCTTGCTGGAAGGGAAGGTAGCTACGAAGGTCCGAGCCTAAGAGGTCCTGCTACACCTGTGTACTCTACTTGGGTGGCAGACACTTTCCAGGCTTGGCTGGGTCTCTTATCTAAGGAATGTGTACAGAGAATGCTGTGTGCTGCTATGAGAAGAGAATGAATCACTTCTTAGTGGCTAAGTACAAAATACAGCCTCCTTCCTTCTGTTAGTCATTTTCAAGTTCAAGTGGCGCTAAGATTCTGAACAGCTTGGCCGTGTGAACCTGACAAGATGTGCTGCCAAGCAGAGCACACATGACAAGCCAGGCCTGCACCTCAGTTGCACTGCTTCAGCACACGAGGAATAGGATCACTAAGAAACCTGGCAGAGATGTGAGACCTCCGAGTCTAAGAGCAGAGTTGATGGAAGCCGGGCCCACCCAGAATGTCACCTTCCCATCCAGTCCCCAATAGAGGCGTGCTGGCTCTGTCGGCTGTGACAGCTAGAAAGGCCACGGAACCTGCAGCTCTCCCCTCAAGAACTGCTGTGGATGACGTGGGTCTCTGGGGTGAGAACTGTGTGTGTGTTTGCTAACAAGGCTCCCCTCCTTCATCCTTTGTTCTTCTGCTCTTAAGTTCCAAAACAATTAGTCAAAACTAAACAACTACAGACATGACTTCTTACCTGAGGAGCTAGAGAACAGACAGGCCTGTTACCTAGAAATCTGTGTGGGTATACACCAGTCTACATCATCTTGATGCAGCTACACCCAGACTTCTGGCTAAGTCAGGTGGCTTTTGCTCAGAGGACTCATCCTGACCACGGCACAGAGACCAAGTTAGCACAATGAAGCCCACCTTTCATTCAGGCTCGCAAGGGGGCATGGAATCTAATCCTAAGAGCCCCACTCCATGATTCCCTCCCCAAGACCAGTTCCAAGCTTCCCTGTAGACCCTAGTGTCTTCCCAGAGCTGAAGACACATCTACCAAAACATGTAACTCAAGTGGAAAGACAGGTTTGTCATGACCCTGTATAGAAGTTACAGATCTTTTTAATTTAACATGATTCTGCACCATTTCAATGCCCCTGGAAAGTACCCCTTCCTGATGGCATAATGAAAACCCCGATTCCTGTTAAGCTGTGAGCCCATCTGTCCTGAGCCATTCTAAATTTGGGGTAAGGGCCATCCGCTACAAGCGACACCATCTCCATTTGCTGCTGATGTATAGGACCTCAAAAAACACACATTCTTTCTAACTGCTGCATTTTCACTAAAGAATAGTTAAAGGCCCGGCTAGATGACAACAGACCCATGCTGCTGCTCTTCTCATTCAGGTTTCTCAGGTGGATGCCAGGAGGCTGAGCAACTCTCCCGTGTCATACGGTGGGTGGGAGAGGGCACCAGAAACCGAGTTCTAAAGGAGACCCTGAGGATGTATTTGGTTTGCATTTCTTTGTAAACCAAGGCTCTGCCAGACTGCTGAGCTCAGGGTTTTTTCTCAGATGAGCTGTCCAAGGTTTTAAGAAAAAGAGCACAGTTGTGACGTGGTACATACAGTCCACACCTCACCCTGAGCTGTGAGCTCTGACCACACAAGGGACAATAGCAGGGATAAGACAAGACTCCAAATCCTAGAGAGAAGGGACAGGGCAAGGAAGTCAAAGGACTCAACCGTGATGGCGATGGCATTTCTGGACAGGGACACAGACAGCAGGGTTTCCTCTGCAGGAGCAGCTGTACTCAGGGGATCAGGGGACTCACATCCAAAGGCTGGTGCCCAGTGCAGTGGGGGCCCTGTCTTATACACACTTTAAGTCCCTTTGTCCCTTCTAAGATGATAACAAACATTCCAGTGGATGTTATTTTACAGCCACAGCGCTAGGCCATTAAGACTACATGGATGCAATAAGATTGCCGTGACACTGAGGCCACAGGAATGCCATACGGCTGAGCCATGTTATCTTCGCTGTTTGTTCTAAAAGGGCCCTTACACACTACTCCTGAGCTCTGCATCTTGCCCACCATTGGGAAATAGGAGAGGACAAGACGTTATATAACTTTGTACTCAGCTACCCTCTGCACAGGCAGCCAGGTACAAACACTAAGCAAAGAAAAGATGAGAATATCAAATCAAGAAAAGACCAAAGATGATTATGAAGGAAAATACAACCATGTGGCCTTCTAGACAGTGAAATGATTGAAGTCACAAACAATGCTGCATCATTTTATAATCTAAACCTGAAAGGATCACACAGGCAGGACTGAGGCAAGGAAAGAGTTAAAGTGTGGAAAGCAGGGGCTTTCTCTTTAACAGGGACAATGCAACAAAGGCTGCAGAAAGGTGGGCTGGGGAGGGGAGGGGAGAGCAGGGGAGGGGAGGGCAAGGTTGGGCAGAGGAGGGCGGGGCGGGGCAGGGCTGGGGGCAGAACACTTGAATTAGTTATTTTTTATTTTATGCCTTTTTCTGCTTTTGGGATTTTAAATAAATTCCCATCAATTTGGTAAAACAAAATTTTAAAGGCAAATCAGCTCGTTGAGGATATAATGCCCTACACCACTATTTAATAATAGTACACAGGGATCAACAGATAAAAACAAAAAGCCCACCATATATCCAGAGACTAATTTCAAACTCGTGGAGAATGTTATTTAATAAACTGTGACAGAACTATTAGGTCCTTTATTTGTTTTACTACAATAGGTGAATCTTTGCTGAGATGTTTGTTAGAAGTCAGGACCTCAAGTATCTGATAGAAACGTGTGTCACTGCAGACCCTGAGGCCAGGAAAGCCAGCTCTGACTCTGCACAGAAGCTGTCAGCACCTGTGCGACGGGACAAGACAGACAAGCGATAGCTAAAGAACACAGGTCTGTCACTGGAAAAGCACTGCCCCGTCCTGAGAGGAGGGTGACGACGGGCATGCTGCCCATCACTTCCATTCTGACAGCAGCAGGTGGAGCCGCACGAGTCCTGCTCTGCCCCGACTGCCCACTAGTGACAGGACAGGCACTACCGAGCTGGGACTCAGCGTCACGGTGACCTCCGATATTTAGGAAGAGTCCCCACGGCAGCACCTCATCCGTGTTTGTACTGACATACAGGAGAAGGGAGGGCAAGGCAGCTTCCCCGGGACGGGTCTCTAAGTGCTACCAGAGCCAACCGCACACCCACTGGTAAGATCGACTGGCACAGGCAGACGCTGCACAGGCTCCATGATCAGCTCCTGGAGCAAGGCCAAGGGTACACCTCAGGCCAGTCCCCCACCCCACAGCTGCCACCCTTTACCATTGCACAGAATGACCTGAGGTGTGACAGTCAGACCTCTCAGTAGAGAGCAGAACCACATGTAACCAGAACCAGCTCCCATGAATGGTCGGAAGAGTCTTAGAGACCAAAACAGGCCAAGTAGGGTTCTCTGCTCCCTTCCCACTGCTGTGAAAAAGACGGCAGTGTGCGGGCCGGGGACTCCCACTCATGTGGTCCCTCCCGTGGACCCTGCCCACCGTCACCTGGGCCCCCGCACGCCGGTGGCGCTCCTCTCTCCAGACGAGGACAACCCTGGAGGCTGCTCTCTGCGGACCCCTGGGGCCCTGGGCTTCCTGGGCTTCGGAGCTCGTTCCTGTTCCGTGTCTGGGTCTTCTGGCTTCTTCTTCTCACTGTCACTGTCGTCGCTGCCTTCTCCAAGGATGTCATCGACCTGACAAAAGGTGGAGAGTCAGTGGCCTTGCAAGTTAGCTTTCTGTAAGAGTCACATGGTCCGCACTCACCCAGAAAGGACCACAATAGCTTCGCATCATCCTCACATAAGGGCATACTCAGCACCATCCTGCAGGGGCCGGATGTTTACTTCTGCTTTCTACTTGAATTCTGGGGTCTGAAACTAAGCTTAAATGACAGCAAGAGAGCAGAAATTCCCATGGAGCCTGCACACGAGCCCGGAGGAAGGGATGGTGCTTTCATTTACCCGCTGAAGTTCTCACATACAGTACTGATGGATTGTCTGTGAGCTGGCCATTTTCTCACCATCTTCTAGATCAGTGAGACCCAAAGCCTGAGCACCCACTTCCCAGGAGGAAGTGGCTTCTGGACACTGGAGGCTGGCCTGCAGCTGTGCTGCAAGGCTGCTGCTTAGCTGGCTTTTCTCTTTCCCACCTACCTCAAGCTAGGAATCTCACATGAGGATGATGCTACAACAGTGTGATGGCGAGGAGGAACAGGCCGGCCGGCCTGCCTGCCTGGGATTCCTGCTCCTGATTTGAGGGTGGGCAGAGGGAAGTGAGGTGGTGGGGCAGAGAATGGGGGGACACACAGCAAGTAGAAGACAGGTGACAGGCTGCCGTTAGGGGAACCTCACTTGGGGCCAACACTACAGTGAACTACCGTGTACCCGAGTACCAGAGAGTAGCGGCCAATGCTGTGCAGAGAAGGCACCTGGCTTTGGCCTTCTGGCCCCAGAACTCAAGCTCTTAGCTCTTTTCCTGCACTGCAGCATGAGCAAAGCAGGGAGAGTGGGTCTGCATTCAGCTGTCACCACTCAAGTGGTTTACGGAGTCCGAGCAATATAACGGGGTAGGTTCTGCCCACAGCACAGCTTTGCCAGGCCAAGGGGCAGCCGGGGTGAGATACATGGCCACCAGTGTCTCTGCGTGGCTGACTGCATCTATATCCCGATCAGAAAAGCATTTCATCTACCATGCCAGCATTCTTGTGTGGCAGACACTGACTTCAACATGCATTAACTCTGCTGGCTGGCCAAAGACTTACAGAAACATCTTAAAAGCCCAAACAAAAATGTGGGCGGACACCAAGTCTGGCCTTGTTTCACTCAGGCTTCTCTTGGGAATGCCATAAATGTTCCAGAAGCTTTCGTTTACAAATGTGTCAACTGCCTTTGAAAACTAGTTATCTTAACGAGAACTACCTCAATGATATCTTTCAATGAACTTACTGAAAAGACAAAATAGGAAAGTTGTTTTAAATGTTAAGGAAAAACTTAAAAGCCAGTATGTGACTTGGAAAAAAAATTCAACATATACTGACTTAAGTACTAAATCTTCACAAAAGGCCACACAGCATATCAAACACTCCTGGGTCCCCAGCCAATCTCGGGAGACAAGCTCTCTGAGAATTTGTCTCATCACAGGTTTAGAGCCAGTAAGTGTGGCAAGAGGTGAACAGTGACATCTGAACCCAGGGACAGAAGCCAGCAGCCAGCCCAGAAGCCCGTCTTTCTCCTCGGTCATGGAAATGCCATGCAAGAGACGGACGGACAGACAGCCTCTTCTCAGCATGGTACAGACCCAGAGGGGGAATGTGCAGAACCAGCGAACCCCCCCCCCCCCCCCCCCCCCCCCCCCCGCCCAGTTCAGACAGGAGCAGCGTACCTTACAGTGCCACTATTCACAGACCTGACCAGAGAACAGGAGCTCCAGGAACAAGTTCCTCAACCTTAAACTTACACCAACTGACGTGGAACCCAAATGAATATATTTACTTCCTTGTCCCAAAGAACCACCTGTAGCTAGAGTTTTCCTGCCTTGCCCACAGTCAGGACAAATCT